AAACACCATAAGTGTCCGGGGCCCAAAACTGTTCAACAGCCTCCCATCAAGCATTAGGGGAATTGCCAATAAACCCCTGGCTGCCTTCAAGAGAGAGCTGGACAGATACCTAAAGTCAGTGCCGGATCAGCCGGGCTGTGGCTCGTACGTCGGACTGCGTGCGGCCAGCAGTAACAGCCTAGTTGATCAGGCCCTGATCCATCGGGAGGCCTGGTCATGGACCGGGCCGCGGGGGCGTTGATCCCCGGAATAACCTCCAGGTAACCTCCAGGTGGGTATTGTATACCATTCCTGCTGCCCCAGTGGTACTGTAAATAAGGACCGGCCAGCTGGGCTGGGCCGGACAGGAGCTAGAGACCTCAACCGGTCTTGCTAGCCCAGGTGACCGGGAGTGACGTCAACAGGGCTCACGCAACCCACGACTTGACCGCATGTTGACCGCAGTCACCCCTGGTAACCCTGAGGTTTCCCCTCCCTCTCCCCCTTTCCCTCACCCCATCCCCCACCCCCTCCATCCGCAGCCGCCCGTAACTCGGCGGTACATCTTTCTGCTCGCAACCGAAACTACCCAATTTCGATTCCCGGGCAGGGGTAGACGTACAAGGTCCTCCTAAAATCTGTTACCTACATTCACCTAAACCACACTGCTCTGTGTAGAGCTTAATCAGAGCAAAGTTTTGCTGTGTGTATAGCTAAATTGTCGCGACGTTTTGCTCTCTGTAGAGCTGTATCAAGTCATGTGTTTCGTCTTTCCCTTCAAGGGAGGTACCTGGTTGCCAGTGAAGGGCTCTTGATCAAGGGAGTTTGAGTTATTCTCCTTTGGATCGAATCTGCCTCTCGTTCCTTTGGCGCTGTGTGACTCCTACGGATTTAGCGCTTCCCTATGAATATAAAATAAATATATGAATCATTAACTTTAACACCTGTGCCTGGCACTCTGCTGACCTTGGCACTCTGTTGACCTTGGCAAAGGTGACCTGACCTTGAGACACTGCTGGCCTTGGCAAAGGTGACCTAACCTTGGCACTGGTAATCCCTGGCAAAGGTGACCCTGATGCACTAGTGACCCTTGGCATTCCATTCTGGAGACCCCTGGTACTCTAGTGACCCTGTCTGACCTGACCCCTCGTGAGGGGAAGGGAGGTTGAAGGTGGTGCCGCTGTTCCCCGTTGTGCTCAGTAATTGTGCTCAACCCCTAAATTAGCTGGTGTCGAGTAGCATTTGTTTACGCTGGCACTCTGGCACAGCACCGGAACAAGCCAATCCCCCTCCTCTCTCTCTCTCTCTCTCTCTCTCTCTCTCTCTCTCTCTCTCTCTCTCTCTCTCTCTCTCTCTCTCTCTTTCTCTCTCTCTCTCTCTCTCTCTCTCTCTCTCTCTTTCCCCGACTCTCGCACTCAGATACACGCTAAGATTTCCTTAAGGTTTTGCCACCATTGTGTCTAGTTTATTGTGCACACAACATCCAGCCTGTGGACAGTATTGTAAGAGAATATTTAGGCAGCATATTAATACACAAAAGGCCTAGGAACTAGGCCCTGAAAGGGTTAACGGGAGTACTTCTGAAGTTATATCTACAATTCTTATTATAATGTTTGTCTATATTCGTCAGTAAGTGAACACTGAAGCACAGTGTTCAAGAAAGTGACCATAAGGCTGACTAAATACTTTCCATTCCTTATTGCTACATCTCTAAATAAGAACTATAGCAACTATACGCAAATAACCCGCACGTGGGATATAGAAGCTTATGTCGACGTTTCGGTCCGACTTGGACCATTTACAAAATCAGACTTTGTGTGGGTTATTTGTATATTACTTCAGTCACGGTATTGTGCCTTTTTCTTCTTTATATCAACTATGTTGAGTTAAGTATAAAAATTAACAACTGGACGTCTACACCGCAAATTGTTTGCCATTCTAATGACATTTAAGTTAACTTGTGACACTGAGCTCGACTCTTCGATTATTACTGATTCTTTGTCATCACTGATGGCTCTTGACTCTCACAGTGGCCCTGACAACATGCTCGCTGGGGAAGCGAGGTTTAAATACTCCAAAAATCAGAGGAAAAGGAAATAATGTATAATTTTTATAGATTCATCACACACTGAATTGCTCCTTCGTGATACAGTTGAAAATTTAGCCAAGGACAATATCTTTATGGAGAATGCAGGAACATAATTTTGGTATATCTGTGTCTAGCATTAGGAGTAATATTGGGCTAGAAGTAAATAATGTAAGTGAATGTTGTAGGAATGCAGTTAGAAGCCTGAGTGGATCTCTCATTTCCTGTGACAACATGAACATAGATAAGCCTGTCTACGGAGCACCTTGGAATGTAAACTGACTAGTGTTGCTGTAGTCAGACTTAGGTTTGGTTACAAGTACAATTGGCAGTTTGGCAGACGCACGGATGACAGAATATTATACACAGGTGAACGGGAGTAAGCTTACTATTTATATTATCCAGATTTTGCGGTGTCCCGTAGCTCGATGTCTAGCGCTCTCAGCTCACAAACTGAGGTCTGGGATTCAGTTCCTCGGTACTGCAAGAAACATTAGGACATATTTCCTTAAGACATCTGCTGTCCCTGTTCACCCATCAGTAAAATGGGTACCTGGGTGTTAGTCGACTGGCGTGGGTCGCGTCCTGGGACAAAATTAACCTAATTTGCTTCCTATATAGTAGTATGTCATTGATGTCAGCGAGACCTGTATACCTTGTACATGTACTTGTAGAAAAGATATCATTAAATTTTTTATTCTCTCTCTCTCTCTCTCTCTCTCTCTCTCTCTCTCATCTCTCTCACCTCTCCTCTCTCTCCCCTCTCTCTCTCTCTCTCTCTCTTCTCTCTCTCTCTCTCTCTCGCTCTCTCTCTCTCTCTCTCTCTGGTGAGGGGGAACTAATCTCTTCCTCTTAGGTCGTCTTCAGGTTGTTCCTCTGTTTATTTAAGTGTCAAGGGAAGATTATACTCTTGTTTTTGAATTTTCTTAGAGGTCTGACCTGACCCTTTCCAAGGATTCTTCGGGAATGACCTAAACATCTTAAAGGATCTCTCAAGACTGATCTAACATTTTGAAGGGTCTCACATGGATCTGATCTAAGCCTGGTGAAGGATCACACAAGGATCTGACCTAAGCCTCTTGAAGGATCACTCGAGGATCTGACCAGAACCTCTTGAAGGATCACTCTAGGATCTGATGGTGGTTACTGGCGCTACTCTCTCTGGCCAGTGGGAAATGGTATGGCCAGTTACCGGATGATGGGATAGCTGGTCAGCTACTGGCCAGATGGCCGGACAGCTGGACCAGCAACTGCCCGGAAACACCACTAACATCAGGGAAGGGGGTAAGGGGGGGTAGGGGGTAACTTGACCTGATACACCATGGAACAGATTCACACCAACAATATTATTATTATTATTATTATTATTATTATTATTATTATTATTATTATTGACTTATTTTACTGTTATTTTATTACTATTATTATTAACTATTAACTTATAGTTATTATATTACTATTAACTTTTATTATGAACTCTCGTTGGTCATTTAACTGACGGCGGTATGCAGGCTCGATCCTCCGTCACGTTACCGAACTGTACCTGCCTGTTTAACATCCTACTGAAAATACTGAGTGCGACCCGCTTTTCATTACGGCTTCCCTATTATTTGGGCCAAATTTGACGTCCAGAGTAATAGGGGGAAAAATTGGCATTAGATCTCCAAATTAACCGTAACATGTATGAATCACGTTGTATACAAATTGTGGACACTGGTACGAGTTTGTTATATTACGTATTTTTTTTTTTTGGGGGGGGGGGGAGGAGGACTGGAATATTTTTTATATTGTCAATTTATTTTCGCGTAAAAAAAAGATGAAAAGTCTACTTGTAATTGATTCTGTTTTTAATGGGAAAAATAATTTTGTCCTTGTTCCACCACCTCATTAAGTAAATTCTGTCATTTATTGTGTTATTGTTGTGTGTACTTTATTACACTCTGGTGTACTGTGTAGTCCGTGATTACACTCAGTAACATTAAGTGTTCTTTGTACTTAGTAATTACGCTAAGTGTTTAGTACAGTATTGCAAATACACTTGGATAGTGTATGTACTCACCTATCACGTTTAAATACAATATGTACTCAGTGATTACGTATAAATATAATATGTACTCGGTGATCACGTGTTAATATAGTATGCACTCAATGATCACGTTTAAATACAGTATGTACTCGGTGATCACGTTTAAATACAGTAGGTTCTTGGTAATCACGTTTAATTACAGTATGTACTTCGATTACATTCGTATACAGCATGTAATCAATATTCCCTTTATATACAATATGTACTCAGATTACACGCAACACACGCTGTTCTCATTGTTCACGTTCAGGTACACATGTACTCACTGATTGCGAAGACAGTACGTACTCAGTGATTGCCCTCAAATGGACTCTACTCTCAAAACTCACATTCAGATGCAGTAACAAACAGTCGACATGTAATCAAGGCACAGCTTAAACTGACGTTCATAGACACTCAGATATATCAGTTTTCCCGCTCAGTAACACCAAGAAACAATCAGAAGAAATTGACAATAGCCGTTTAGGTGTTATTTTTTATTAATACCCGTCTGAAACCTGTTAATAATGACACCCCACCTTCAGGCTATTTGTAACAGTTTCTGATGACACCATAGCATAATCAGTGCTAAAAAAATATAGGTATGGGAATGTACCATTGTTGTATTGGGGTACAGGTATGGGGCTGTCACATAATTATCACATAGGTTATTACATTTATCACGTAGGTTATCACATAGATTATCACAGATCATCACATAGATTATCGCATAGATTATCGCATAGATTATCGCATAACTCAAGTCCACCTGTCTTCTTCTTGACCAGTAATTTAATCCATAAACAGTAACACCCTTTTAATATTTACAAATTGTACCACTGACGAAGTCTCTTCCCTTGCCTTCGGCAGGTGTGGTTCCAGAACAAACGAAGCAAAGAAAGGCGCATGAAGCAGCTCTCAACGATGGGGATGCGCGCACACCTCTTCGCCAACCCGCGCAAGCTCCGCGACCTCCCGCTGGGGATGGACGATGCCTATGGCTTCTTCCCCGGCTACAACGGCTTCCCAGGCCAACAGTTCCCAGGCTACTTCGGTCCCCAGCAGCCTATGGGCTACCCCCACAGTGAGTGTTTCTCCCTCCTTCAAGGGACTGTTGATGTATCACCAGAGCCAAATGGTGAAGACAATACAAGAAAATAAGTAAGACACAATGCAACAGTTAGGTATCTTTATTCCGAAACGTTTCGCCTACACAGTAGTTTTTTTTCAGTCGAATACGGAAGAGTTAGCAGAATCAGTGGAAATGTAAAGACGATATAATCAGTCCATCACCCTTGAAGACGCAGTTTTGAGGTTGTCAGTCCCTCAGCCTTTGACAACTTTTTCAAGTGAGAAGGGATGGATTTGATGACCTTCTTTCGTCTACTAGTGAACTGCATCTCACCTTCCGACAGTATGTAAGTCTCCACACTGCTGCTTAAACTTAAAACTGTTCCAGACTATGGAGCAACACTCTTCTCCAGGCTGAGAGACTGACCACCTCAGAACTACGTTTTCAAGGGTGATGGACTGATTACATCGTCTTCACATCTCTACTGCTTCTGCTAACTACTGTATTCGACTGAAGAAGCCTACTGTGTAGGCGAAACGTTCCGGAATAAAGATACCTAACTGTTGCATATGTGTCTCACTTATCAACTTCTCGGTGTTGTACACCACTACCAGTAGACTTTTGTTACTGCCACGTTTTATTTGTGGAACGTAATTGCTATTAAGTTTTGTTAGCGCTACATTTCACCAACATGAAGCTTTATCATGTACGAAAAGTAGTTACTAATAAAGTTTTTGCTGTGTTTTCAAAGGACATCTGATCACAGGAGTATTTCGCAGGTGATAGTTAACTTTAGGTCTGCTGATACTGAACCTCTGCAAGTGCTGCAGCTACTGAACCCAACCCGCTGTTGCCTTGTCTGCAGGACACAGCAGTGATGCTGAGCACTGTAGATCGCGCACATGCCTACTGTTTCATTATATTAACGCTTGTATGTCACTGGTTGGTGTATGGAGCGGGTTAAACGCCTATCGACTATTCGAAGGTCATTAAGGCTGCGTGTCACCTGCTCACCATCACTCGGGATTACTTAATTCCCTAGAGTAGGGATATAAGTATCCCACCAATTACACCAGAGGAAGAGTGTAAGGGAATAACGTTCTTATTCATGATTATTTTTTGTTTTTTTTTTCCCTTGAGTTCTTTTCTCGGTTATATTCAATATTTGCTCACACTTCTCAAAACAGTCAACTGAATAACCAGTATTGTACAGTTGTACATGTATATTTATTATGTATGTTGTACATAGCAAAAAATGCTGGATTCTGTAAGGTGTAATGAACTTGTGAGGTTTTTGGTGAGGCTTGGTCACAGACCGGGCCGCGGGGACGTTGACCCCCGAAACTTTCTCAACGTATACTGAGAGTTTCTGTGAGTTGTTGAGAGAGTGAGAGTTTTTATTTTTTTAAGTTGTGTGATTTCTGTGGTCTTATGTGTTCTCTCTCCCCACCAGTGGGTCCAGGAATGGAGCAGCCACTGCCCCCCGGTGGCCCCATGGGGGGAGCAGAGTTCCCAGGAATGCCCCCCATGGCGGCCATGATGGGGGAAGCCTTCCCCCCACACACACCCATGACCTCCCCCTCTGACGATGTTTCTGTCCACGGCGGTAAGTACTAATCTCGACTCGTCTCTCCTGTCTAGCAGCCTGTTTGTAAACCACGGAACTGGTGGGGTTTAAATCCATGGCAAGTGAATCCTAAAACTCTTAGGCAAGTGCGTTAACCCCTTGGCCAGTAGGCTCTATTAAGATTCATCCAATTAGATGAATCTTATTAGAGTCAACTGGCCAAGGGGTTAACGCACTGGACTGTGAGTTTTAGGACTCGCCATAGGTTCAAATCCCACCCATTCCGTGGTTGGTTTGCAACTGTGTTGTTACGATTTCATGAAACCTGTTCATAAATTAGTATTTCTTCTAAATTAGGAGCTCCAGAGCAAATTTATATTCTCTCATATTCATATTTTGGTATATAGATGAATATACAGTAAGTTCGCTGTTTTGGGGCTTTTTTGGGGAACCAACATCTCAAGATCTAGAATTCTCAGATAATTCAAAAATCGGTAGTGTTTTACCTCACTTTTTTTGTTTACAGTACCCCTTTTCTTAAATTTTTCATTTTTAATTATATAATTAAATGAATTTGAAGAATAAAGTCAAAATACCGTGGCTAAAAAATTTCAAAAAAACCCACTCCCATGTTGTTAACAACATTGCTACTACTACTTTTTACTACTCTATTACTACACTCTGACACTGTTACTATTTACTACTACTGTTACTACCTTTGTTACTCTAACTATTTTTGCTCTCTCTTTTACTACTGTTACTTTTACTACACTACTGTATACCTTGTTATACTACTGTTACACTACACTTTTTACTACTACCACTACTACTACTGTTACTACTACATTGCTACTATTTCTACTACGAAAATTTCACTAAATTCTAATTAATTTTGCTAATTTTTCCACTTCAAATATACTACTACTATTAATACTTTTATCTCCCCATTTTTTTCGTACTTCTCGACATTCTTCTGGTTTCTTCTTTTAAATGTGGGTATTCTGTAATTAAAATTTATTCAACCGCTATCTATTAGTGGTAAACTAAATAGCCCTTGGTTTTTCCCGGGCGGGCCCCCGGGCTTCACACCATCAGAACTGGGAGATCCGGGCCTGGAACCGGGTGTGCCCTTCCGCCCCCCGCCACCCCCGCCCACTACCACAACACAACCCCCAAAGATCCCCCTCCGTGATGTCAACCATCTGACATCTTTGAGTTTCTACGAAGGGACAAAAAAAAAACATGAGCTTTCCATCTTTTTATGTCTTCAGTGCCCATAGAATACAGTAGCTTTTTTTTGGGTGGGTTTATTATATATAAAGGGAAATTTTATCCATAGCAAGGGATAAACCCCCCCCAAAAAAAAAAAAAAATAGGGTAACGCTAATGAATAAATGTCGTCCATATTGTGAAAAAAATTATTTGTAAGGAACGATGGCGACATGCGATACTCGTAAAAGTAATTTAAAAAAAAATACCCATTTTTGTATTTAACGTTGCATCCAACCCTCGTTCCCCGGGACTGGGGAAAGTGAACCCCTTACGAAAACCCCCCACAGTGAACTGTTTTATAGATGTGCAGGGTGGGGGGTACACCTCACATATTGAAAATTGTACACTTTTTTTAAGGATTAATCGTTGTTTGTTTGTACATCCTTTTGACATTAAGTTTGTATTCTCCTGACATTGCTGGGGAAATAAGAAATATTTTTGCTTTTTTTTGTTACCACAAAAAAAGTCCCGATACCGTTATGGGAACAATAACAAAGGACAAACATGTGTTGTGTCTTGCGCATCAGTCTGGGTTGTGTAAAAAACGCCCTCCTTGCAACCAACAACTCACATTTTTGGTCCGTGGGGAAGACAAAAATACGTTGGGAAGGCAACGTTTCGCTCTGCAAGAGCGAAATGTTGCGTAAAAAAAATTTGTTCAAACACCTGAAATTTCCCTAAAAGGGGAGTTATGCCCCCAAACCAGGGGCCGAAACATCATCTAATTTTTCCCTTTTCCAATTTGAAGAAGAATTAATGATGTTTGGGCCCCTGGTTTGGAGGGCAAACACCATTTTAGACAGATACGGGTGTGTGAACAACAAACTTTTTGCCTTTCGAAACGTATCAGCCCCCCGAAGGCCCCAAAGTGAGTTGGTTGCAACTGGGGGCGTTGGTAACGACCCGACGATGCAGCTAGACACAACACACCTGTTTGTCTACCCACACATGCCACGCAGATAACAAATTTGTACTCTATCTTTCCGCTGCGTTGGGAGTCGCGTCACCGCACTTTCAAAAACTTTTTTATCCACGAAAAGACAGGAAAATGAGCCGACATATACTTCTAATATAAACTTCGTTCGTTTTTAACCCGGGGACACGACCCGGGGAAAATAAATGGTATTTGGGGAAAATAAACCAACATGAAGGATGTAGGTTTGTCACAATTCAAATTTTACAACCCCCCTCTCGTGAAACCCCCCTCGTAGGGTTAATAACCCCCTAGGGTTAAAACCTCGTAGGGTTAATACCCCCCTGGGGGTTAATAACTGCTAGGGTTAATACCCCCCCCCCCCCCCCCCCCCCCCCCCCCCCCCCCCCCCCCCCCCCCCGCGGGGTTAACTCGCGGGGTAACCCCCGCTGGGGGTTAACCCCCGCTAGGGGAAACCCTGCCCTCGCTGGGGGGGTTTAACCCCCGCGGAGTTTTAAAAACCTCCCGGGGTTAACCTCGGAGGTTAATAAACCCGCCGGGGGTTTAAAACCCCGCGGGTTAATAAACCCCTAGGGGGAATCCCTCGCTGGGGGTTTAAAAACCTCCTAGGTTAATCCTCGCTGGGGTTTAAAAACCCGCTGGGTTAATAACCCCTGGGGGTTTAAAAACCCGCTGGGGTTTAAAAACCTCGCTGGGGTTTAAAAACCTCGCTTGGGGGGAAAAACCTCGCGGGTTAATAACCTCGCTGGGGTTAATTTTTT